AGAGAGAGAGAGAGAGAGAGAGAGAGAGAGAGAGAGAGAGAGAGAGAATGAACATGGGTAGCAGTCAGAATAGCTCAGAGAAGATGGAGGAGTGCCTGCCATAGGAGCTTGGCTAAGCAATGCTGGAGGAAAGGGAGCTAGGGCCAAGCCAAGAGGCTATAGGATGACCAGATCGCCCTCTGCTAAGGGGAGCAGAGGCTGGCAGTATCCCTGGAGCTAGCTGGAGGGGCAGGGCAGCCTTGCAGATAGCCATGTGACCCCTTTGGGCTGGCAGGAGGGAAGAGGGGCATCATATGGCTGGTCCTCCCTGGGTAGCCCTGGGAGGATGCACTGGAAGGTTGGTGGCTAGGGTTATCTGCAAGGCTGAGAATGGGCAGCTGCGGGAAGATGCGGGCGCAGGGCAGGGGATGGAATACCCACCCTGGGGGCTGGTCAGCTGCTGGGGCGGGAAGCTCCTCCGGGTAAAGGTGCCTCCTCCAGAAACACGTAGGGGGTGGGGTGCAGGGACAGAGAGAAACTGAACTCCCAGGTATCCTGCGGTTCCCCAGGGCTTGGCAGGCAGCTGGGTGGGTTTCTCCCTCACACCTAGGGGAGCCCTCCTGCTAGTGGGTGTGGGAGAGGACTGTCTATGAGCTGGTGGTCCTCAGGGTCTGGCAGCCATGGAGAGGGTCTAAATGGGAGGCAGTGGATGTTACCCCTAGGGGCTGCTTTGGGTCTGGCAGGAGCCACCTAGTATTTCTAAGTTCCTTTCCCTTGCGGTTAGGAGATGGCGGCCTCTCCTCCAGTGAGGAGAGTCTTCAGCTCTATCAGCTCACCCCCCAGGAAAAACCAAGGCATCTCAGCCCTGCTCTGCCCTCCTTTCTCCCCTGCTCATCCCACGCTGGGGTCAGCTTTCTGGAGACTAGTGCTCTGGGGGAAAGTTCCCGCTCACTGTCTCAACCCCATTCCTCCCGTTTGCCCAGGAGGTATCCAAATGTCCCCAGGAGTGATCACGGAGGACTTGACTTTAGGGAGGACTTTGGGAGGGAGCCCAGGCTCCCTGTTAAGGGAATGGAAGAACTTGGAAGTGGACCATTAAGCCTCTGATACAGCACGTATTGGGGGGCAGTGAGCAGTATGTTGGGGAAGCGATGTGCAAAGAGCATGGAAGGGAGGGCCACGCCGTGTTGTGGGTTCATCTCCATGGATCCAGGAGATCCAGGAGCTTGGCCCTGGGGGGCAGTGGGCTGGGTTGGCTGGCTGGGGAGCGGTTTGGCAGTGCTTGCGGCTTAACTAGGCGCTGGAAGAGTGGCGTTACCCATGCTAGCAGTAACTTTTAATTGTATCTCTTGAAATTGGTAAAATGGTGAGTCGGGCTGGGGAGGCATTGATTAATACCTGAGAAGAGAAACAACAGAGACGGTGAGAAGAGGGACAAGGGGTCACAGGATCACTCACCTGGATGCCACCAGGCCTCCACTTACCTCCCCCGAGCTCTCCGCCGCTTTCTCTCCTGCCATGGCTTCCCTTTTGGCTTTGAATGCAAACAGCACAGAGCTCATTCTCCACCAGTCCTGCCTGGAGCCCTTGGCCCTCCTCCTCCCCATTCGGCATCTGGCATCTCTACTTCTAGTGGTGTGGGTAGCAAGACTGTATGTGCCACACACACCCTACTGGGGTGCTACCTGGATTGCAGGAGCCCTGCTTGGCCATTGAGAAGCTGTGCCATTTGGGGGAGTATGCTGCACCTCTCTGGACCTCCACAGACGAGGAGGCCCCTGGAATTCTTTCTGACGTTTGCACTCTGGAGTCATTTATTCCCAGTCGAACCCTTGCCAAGACAGTGTAGGGAAAGCTGACTTTTGAGTGGGCCCTGATTTGTGGGCACCACGTAAATCTGCCCCCTTCCATCATAGCTCCCTTGAAGGAGGGACTGTCATTTGCTATGGTCCCTGTAACAGGGGAATTGTGGCGTTGTGAGGTTCTTAAAGGCCCACAGCAACCGGCCACAGTGCTTGCCATCCACGGAGCAGCTGGCAGCTAGTAATTAGGATTACAGTTTCTCGCCACCTGGTGTGCATCAGGGACCCTGTGGCCCCCCAGGAATGACTTGATGACTCTTCCTGGCTAGGGTCTTCCGAAGTCTGGCCTCTGAGTTTCTCATTCCCCATCCCCAGGGCAGTAGGGGAGCCCTCTGCTTCTCCAGGTGCAAGGGGGACTGCGGGGTGAAGGGCACTGTGGGCAAAACCCTAGAGATGCACATCCAGATCTGACAGGGGCTCGCAGCTCCCACAAGAGAAGCTGGGAGGGTGAACAGTCTCAGCTGAGGACTGAAAGGAAAATCCTGGCGGCCCTGAAAACGTGCAGTGACCCATGTCCTGAGCCCTTGTAAAGTGAATGGGGGTGGAGGCGGCTGGTTTAGGCAGAAGGGGAGTTATGGGAGAGGGGCTTTCCACAGCACAGAGCCCAAAACCTTGCTGGGAACGGGAATGGCACGTCCTGGCTGGTGCCCCCCGTCTCTGGGATGCTGTCTATCTCTCATCTGGCATTAGGACTAGCTGTAGAGGTGGGCATCGTGGCAGGGGCTGGGCTTGGGACTGTAGGAATCCACTGTCTTCCTATGCCCGTGGATGCTCAGTGCCCATGTTCTAAGCTCTGACTGTGGGGTAGGGTGTGAGCCTGAGTGCAGAAGAGGATGCCTGCGTCATGTATGGGGTTTCTGGGTATCTCCTGTCTTTCTTCGAATTTCCCCTTAGGAGGGGACTTTGGGGGGAGGAACCAAGCCCACTTTCCACCCTCCCTGCCAGTGGGTGAAACTGGGGTAGTTAACAGAAAGGATAGAGTCAGCAGGCTTTCAGGGCTGAGCAGAGGGAAAACTATGTCCTAAGTTCATTCTGACTCCGCTAGGCTAGTGGGGAAATTTAATCTGAAGACACCACTTAAGCAACAGAGCTTGAGGCTTATCTGGATTGAAGTTAGGACATCAGGGCTCGTGGTTTGACTCCAGGAGCAAGTGGGGACAGTTCACATACAGCCCTGCACTCTGAGACAGTTTGCAAACCGGATACATTTCTCTGTCACCTCTTCTCCACCCTGAGCTAAGGACTAAAGGTTAAAGACATAAGCCTGGGACTCCTCCATGGAGAGAAACAGCTACAGAAACAGTATGCCCCTCCCCCCAAAGCTCCCAGAGCCAAGTACAGGACGGTGGTTGCCTCTAAATGGGCCAGGTAAGGGCAGAGCCCAGTCTCACCTGTGGGTGATCCTTGCTTCGACTGTGGGTCCCCCTGGGCTCCAGACGACCTTCCAGAGAGAGCCTTTGTTCCCTGCTGCTTCTCCAGTTCCCCTAAGAAAGGGAGAAGCTGTGAACAGAGGCATCCCCACAACCACCCCCAGCCCCAGGGAGCAAGGGGATATAGGGACAGCAGGAGGAGGTAGGAGAACCTGTTCCTGCCCACTCCGATGGGAATTCAGGTTGGGCCTGAGCACTGAGAACCACTTAAATCTCTGGGCACTGTATCTGAATGGTGATGGCAAGATTTGCTTGGCTGCCAGAGACCAGTGTGGGATAAGGAGGCCGATGACTGGGGTCGACACCCTGGACTAACAGTCTTAGGCACGTTACCTAGCCTACTCTGCCTTGCTTGAGGAGACAGCTGGGCCCACTGCCCAGTGTCATTAGGAAGATTACCTGAGGTAAAACACACAGAACAAGGACTGACTTGGGCAAGCGTGCCAAGCATTAGCATTAGGACAGTGTGCAAGAAAATGCAGCCTGTGGTCCCCAGGTATGGTTGGCGACACCCGGTCCACCCACATGCACCTAGCAGCATTGCCCCCTCCCCCACCCCAGCCGCGGAGCTTCCTGAAGGGTGTTCAGTGCTCCCCTGAGGGGCAGATTCCACAGCCTGTGTAGCTGGGACACATGTCCCAGCCGGTCCTTCACTGGAGCCTGTCTGCATCACCAGCTACCCAGTTTATCCTCCTAGTGGCTCTAGGGACCTGCTGGCTGCCATCCATGTAGATCTGACAGGTATTATTAAACCGTTCTCTCAGCTTCTTGGTTCCATGGGACATGACTCAAGTTTCCGTTATTAAAATTATCCACTTGGGCTCCATTTGCTGTTTCTCTGGCTGTCTAGAATCCAGGGATAGGGAGCAGGAAGTGTCCAGACCAGCATTTTGTCCTTGTTGCCGGAACCACACCGGTGATCCATCACTTCAGGGCATTCTTACTGAGTTAGTTACTTGCTGGCCCAAGAGGGTCCTCCTGGCTTTGGAGGAATTAGAGCCGTAATTATTTACACATGAGTCTAGAGAGCCTGGGTGTGATGCTTATGGTCACTCCCTGTGAGAACTCAGACTCCCTTCTAAAGCCCTGCTGGCCTCAGTTTTCTTGTAAGAGGAATGTGCATACATGGGAAGTGGGAATTAAGTGATGGGTCCTGTCACCTGCCCTGTGCCCAGCTTTGCTTCCCTCCCCCACCCCGGATGTCTGCTGAAGCGGTTTTTTTTTTTTTTCTCCCACTTGACATAATGGATTCTGACCAGATCTGTGCCTCCGCTACTTTGAGAAAGGACTTCTGGGACGCCCTTGGGCTAGAAGGACAATACTTCTCTCAGTACAGCTGAGGCCAGGTGGCCAGTGGCTCTCTAAGCAGCTTGGAGCCATTTGTGACATTCTGATCAAAAGAAAAGTAAATCCAATTCAAGACACACTCTGAGAATGTTCCAGAAGAAATAGCCCCACTGGGCCCTCTATGCAACTAGTCTGACCCTGAAGAGAGTCTGTTTGTGAAACCCCTGAGTCCAAATAAACCAACGCTGTACAAAACCAGCATGTACTCGGTGACTACCACCCCCTTGCAAAGCAGCATCCTGCGCTCTGGGCTTCATTTCGGCTCCATTTTGGGTTATTTTCTTAAGAGATTATATACAGAACCTCTTCTTTCAGTCTTCATAGTAGAAAGACTATGAGGCTAAGCATAGGACTCAACTGCATATGCCATCTCTGCCTATGTTAGCACTGGTGACCTTCTCAAAGGGAGACAAAACAGCCGCCTGGCAGGCTACAGTGAAGATAAGCAGAATATAGCTGAACCATCTTGCTTCTTGGTCTCATGGATCTGCTCTGCCTGGATCAGCTCTCTAGGCTGTTCTGGACAATGCAGCAGTGTTCTGATGAGAAAGGCCCTTGTGCATCCCACAAGGCTGACAGATGTACACATACATGTGTGTACCCTAGGAGGCAGGGCTCAGTGTAATCGTGAAGCAAACCCACATTGGGATGGGATGTTACAGTGAAGTTAGGAGTCCAAGGGGGTGGGAGTGGGGCTCAGGCTGGGGCAGAGCAGGCGTGGCAGTCCCCAGGAGGCAGAGGTAGGTGTGTGCTGGCTTGCTATGCCTTTTTGGACCCCATCTGTCTGTCTTAGAAACTGGGGCCCGTTCTTACACTCTATCCGGATCTGCTCCAGCTCTGTCACCTCAGCAATGGACTCCTTCAGGTCTTCCACAAACTTTTGCATCTCGTCAGAGCCCAGGGCGCAAAAATGCAACACCTGTTTCTTCTCAGAGCCCGCGAGTGGCGTTGCCAGTGTGATTCCGTGGGAGTAATCTGGAATCCAGCCACACCCCAGCGGTGAGCGCACCACAGCAAGGAGGCTGATGCAGGAAGCCTAGGGTTTGGGGGGGGCTCCCACCCTCCCGGCCCTAGGACTCACACTCGTTCTCAAAGAGGTGAAACCGCATGCCTAAGAGGCCGACCGCCTTGCAGAAGGTGTACGTGAAGGAGCTCTTCTTCTTTGGGCACAGCTTGAGAATCTGCCCAGGGGAGGTACAGAAACAGATGAGAGGGGCCGCTGCAAATACGTGTGCACAGAGGCAGGCACCAACGTCCACAGACATTGAGAACACTGTCAATGCACAAAGAGGCACACCTATGCACATCAGACGCAGTCACGCCACACACACCTGGCACAATACACATGTGCCATCCTGCTTAAAACCCTTCAGAACCCACTACGTCTGCATTAGAAGCCCCGGCCTGTAAGCCCTCCCAGATTCAGCCTCCGCCCCATGTCGGCTTTATGTCGGCATCACACTGTCCTCTTTTCTGTAGGTTGAAGCAGCCGAGCTCGGCCCTAAGGCAGCCATTCCTTTTCTACAACTCTTGCTTCCCCCTTGCCCCACTTCCCGCAGCTTTCTGCATGGCCAGATTACTCTCATTACTTCAGTTAACACAAAATGCTCCTTAGAGAAAGCTTCCTTTCAAAACTATGTTTAAACCCACAAACTAAAAGCAAGTCCCCCAAGTCTCCCCTGCCACCCAGTCGCTCTGTCCCACTACCACTTTATATATAGAGTTCAAAGCACTCCTGCTCCCATTGGCTATGGTCTCATTTGCTTTCTTTCTTTCTCTTTCTTTCTTTCTTCCTTCCTTCCTTCCTTCCTTCCTTCCTTCCTTCCTTCCTTCCTTCCTTTCTTTCTTTCTTTCTTTCTTTCTTTCTTTCTTTCTTTCTTTCTTTCTCTGATTTTTGTTTCTGCCTAATATGAAAGATTCATTCACCAGTTGCTCAAATATGTAAACTTATATTTTGTTTAGTAGCTCTTATGAGCAGGGCGCGGAGGATGCAGAGGGACAGGTGTAAGCCCTTCCCTCGAGGGGTTTGTGTGATGGTAGAGGAAGACAGTTAAGGAAAAAACCTCTCTACCCACTCCACAAAGGCAAAGCAAGGGACAAATGAAGCAATTTCAGAATCTTGAGAGTGTTTTTAAGTAAGTAAAATAGGATTAGAAATAGAAAGTGCTTGGGAAGACTGTCTTGCTTGGCAAGAGGCCGCCCAGGGAGGCCACATTCAATTAGCGACCAGCCTAAAGAGAGCCAAGTAACCACACCCAGAGGAGCTTTTGAAGGGAAGGGGCTGCCCCTGGGGCCAGATGCGCAGCAAATGAGCCCAGAGATCTCTGGGGTTGGGGGACGAAGCACTGAGCTGGAGCCGGGTAGGCGGGAGGCCCTGATGTGCCCACGGCTCTGTGGAAGTGATAGGAGACATGAGGAACCTAGAGGAATATTTTAACATTTCGTATTGTACAGACACATTTGTGCTGCAAAAATGTATATTTCCCACTGGCTGTTCAGGCATATACTCTGGGTTAAGCTCCTCCTCCTAAACGCCATGCTCCTGCTGGAATCCAGAGTTAATGCAGACAGTCACTAATTAGACTCAGTGTTTCAATAAGGGCCTGAGTCTAAGTTTCTACTGCAAGAGGGAAGAGGGCAAGGGGGTAGGAACTAAAGAAGCCAGATATCACATTCCCCCAGTGACTGCTTGATGGGGCGTGGCGGGGGGTCGGCAAGACTCACAGTCTTCATTGCCCCTGCCTGCTCCCCTATGTAACCTGCTGGAAAGAGATGAGACAGGCTTTTAAAATGCTAATCCACTGCCTTCTCAGATTATCCACTCTCTGAAGAAAGCAGTTTTAAGATTCAGCTTCAGTCTCTTCTCATTGACTCTGCCAGTGAGTGACAGGCATCAAGTGCTCCGTTATTCTGGTTACAGAAAGAGGACCTGAGAGACTCACCGGGCCAGATAGGCAGGGTGGATTGAGCTACAGGTGCTTCTGTGGGACCCTGCAGAGGTTTCCATGGGACTTGGAGAAGGCCAGAGAGTACACATCTGTGGGAGGAGCTCATTCACCCCTGCCTGCCTCCCAGCACTTGGGACAACTCCAGGCACAGTGGGATGGAGTAAAGATTTATTGTGGGACACTTGTTTTCAGAGAGAAATACACCATCCATACACATGCTGTTCAGCCTCTCCCTGGGACTGGGGACAGTGGCCCTCTGCTGACCTTCCAGACAGAACAGTGATGTCAAGGTTGAGTACCTTGCCCTAGGTTTTCTGTATCATGGAGAGGCCGGTTGTCTGGGCCTCATTTCCATTTTGACCTGTCTCTGTGCTTCAGATTCACAGCTT